TCTGTATCCACATTTTTATCTCCTGGTAACTCATGTATAACAGTTTCTACTTCTGGTTCAGTACAGGGTTTTTGCGTTCCATTATCTGTTACAAAGCATTCAACCGCTTGTGTATCCATAATACATACTCGTGTTGACTCACTCGTATTTTCTTGTTTCTCCGGTATGGGGGTATAAGGTGGTTCAGAGGATTCTTCAGTTTCTACTTCATTATCGTGTTCATTCTCATGATCAATGTACGATATTGCATTTTCACCTTGTGCATCTTTAGCACACTCTATTTCTGGTTCATTACATGCTATTTGTTTTTCGCTTTCTGATACTTCTACCGCATCTGTATCCACATTTTTATCTCCTGGTAACTCATGTATAACAGTTTCTACTTCTGGTTCAGTACAGGGTTTTTGCGTTCCATTATCTGTTACAGAACATTCTACCGCTTGTGTATCCATAATACATGCTTCTGTTGATCCGCTGATATTTTTTTGTTTCTCCGGTATGGGGGTATAGGGTGTTTCAGAGGATTCTTGAGTTTTTACTTCATTATCATGTTCATTCTTATGACCAATGTAAGATATTCCATTTTCACCTTTTGCATCTTTAGTACATTCTATTTCTGGTTCATTACATGCTATTAGTTTTTCGCTTTCTGATAGTTCTACCGCTTCTGTATCCATATTTTTATCTGATGGTAACTCATACATAACAGTTTCTACTTCTGATTCAGTAAAGCGTTTTTGCGTTCCGTTATCTGTTACAGAGCATTCAACCGCTTGTGTATCCATAATACATGCTCGTGTTGACTCACTCGTATTTTCTTGTTTCTCCGGTATGGGGGTATAAGGTGGTTCAGAGGATTCTTGAGTTTTTACTTCATTATCATGTTCATTCTTATGATCAATGCACGATATTGCATTTTCACCTTGTGCATCTTTAGCACACTCTATTTCTGGATGATTACATGCTATTTGTTTTTCGCTTTCTGATAGTTCTACCTCTTCTGTATCCATATTTTTATCTCCCGGTAACTCATACATAACAGTTTCTACTTCTGGTTCAGTACAAGGATTTTGTGTTCCATTATCTGTTACAGAGCATTCAACCGCTTGTGTATTCACAATACATGCTCCTTTTGACTCACTAATATTTTCTTGTTTCTCCGGTATGGGGGTATAAGGTGTTGCAGAGGATTCTTGAGTTTTTACTTCCTTGTCATGTTCATTCTCATGATCAATGCACGATATTGCATTTTCACCTTGTGCATCTTTAGCACACTCTATTTCTGGTTCATTACATGCTATTTGTTTTTGGCTTTCTGATAGTTCTACCGCTTCTGTATCCATATTTGTATCTCCTGGTAACTCATTCATAACAGTTTCTACTTCTGGTTCAGTACAAGGATTTTGTGTTCCGTTATCTGTTACAGAGCATTCAACCGCTTGTGCACCCATAATACATGCTCCTGTTGACTCACTAATATTTTCTTGTTTCTTCGGTATGGAGATATAAGGTGTTTCTGAGGATTCTTGCGATGTTATTTCATTATTATGTTCATTCTTATGATCAATGTACGATATTTCATTTTCACTTTGTGCATCTTTGGCACACTCTATTTCTGGTTCTTTAAATGCTATTTGGTTTTCGCTTTCGGATAGTTCTTCCGCTTCTTTATCCATATTTCTATCTCCTGGTAACTCATAGACTGATTGTTGTTTCTCAGTTGCTAAGATGTATGATGTTTGTGAAGGTTCCGAAACGGTTTTCTTAATGGCACACTTTTCTACTTGATCGGTGAATAGCGTTGGATTTTCACATTCTATATACCAAACAGTTTCTACTTCTGGTTCAGTACAATGGTTTTTTTTTTCATTATCTGGTACAGATAATTTATCTGCTTCTGTGACCAAAATACTCTGTGTATCTGACTCACTTATAGATTCTTGTTTCTGAGGTGCGGAAATATATGTTGTTTTAGAGGATTCTGTAGTTTCTGCTTCGTTATTGCGTTCAGCTGTGTACTCTATGTGCTGTTTTTCATTTTTACTTTTTGCATTTATAATACACTCTATTTTTGATTCATTAGTTGTATTTTGGTTTTCACTTTTAATTAATTTTACTGCTTCTGTATCGATACTGTTATCTGCTGGTATCTCGTTTTTAGGCTCATACCTAGTTTCATTGTAAGGTACTTGTTTCTCAAATTCAAAAGTTTGAGTAACGGTTTCAGTGCATATTTTAGGTATCTCTTTTTCTAAAGGATGGATGGTTTCAGATGGTTCTTTATGAGAGTTACATCTTATGATTGGTTTTGAGGACAGTTGACTTTCCGCCTCTGAATGCAATAAAATGACCTTTGAAGCCTCTTCAATGAAATATGTTTTAAGTTCGGGAAGTTGTGTTATATTCGATCTATTGGAATCTTCGAACGAAGTTCTTTCCAACGACGATGATAACAGTAATTTTGTTATATCCGGTGAATGTGTTTCTGCACAAATTTTATTCGGCAGCTCGTGTAAATCATTTTCATCTGCTAAATTTGTGATTGCTTTTGGAATCAATGGTGATCTCGTAGTTTCCTTAATATCTGATAATGGAACGCACTTCTCTGAGCAACTTTCGTTTATTTCTAACGAGTTTATAACTTTAGTTTCTTCTTCCTCATCTATGATATCAAGTGAGTGGTGGCTCAATTCAGGTATACGTAATTTTATTTCTGCCAAAGCTAAATCACTTAACTCTTTGATTGCATTCATTTCGAAGGGTGCTTGAATAGATGGTTGTTCTGAAGCAGGAACAGCCAACAACGGTGCTAAAGTAATTGCAGCGAGAATTTCAATAACGGATGTTCCTTGGCAAATTGACCTAGTGTCGTGACTTAAAACGGGTTCTTCAAATATTTCGACTGAACTAAATCCTGTACAACTTTCGTCGACTTCAATGCTTTCAGTAGCTTGCAATGGAGCTGTAAACATAAACGACAAACTAGAGTCGCCAGACTAAGAACGTGTAAAGTATCTTTGAAAGATACCTCTGAAGAGGGTATATGATGCGAAAATACCAATTGACACACTACATACTAGTATTACATGTATACATATTGAAAAGTTGCTCCTTTGTTTAAGATAAATTTACTGCTAGCGATGTAAGTTATCATATTTTATGTATGTATGTATGAAGAAATGTGTACGAATGTGCAAGTGAATTGGTTAATACGGTAGGATTAAAAGCTATATTTGACTTATCCTGCTTACGCGAGTAAATAAAATTATTCTTACCTGATATTGGATTATTTTCCGATTCCTGCGCCATATTAGCTTCATAACAACTCGTTGGCATCGATTTTGAACTAATTTTAAGTTCTAGAGGCGAATTATTTACAACTTTAGAATTAAACGCTTCAGTTTTGAACGACTTTTCCACAATATGATCGTTTCTAGTTTCAATATAATTGGCTTCATTTGGTGAATGTGATTTATTTGATATCAAACTAGCTGTTTCAATCAATTCGTCTAGAATCACTTTTGTATTCTGACCACCAATTAGATGTTTATTTATAATTCGATCATTATACGGATCTAAGTCTGCACATATTTGTACTGAATCATCCGTATCTGAATCAATTTCAGAGAGGTCACTGATTTCATCGGTAGTCTTATCCCCAATTTGAGCACGAACATCATCTTTAGGTGCAGGTACTAGCATACCTACACTGCCAGTTATGGAGGTTGTTAATGAAGGACGCTTCTTCCTAAAAAGCCAATTATCTTCCCAATTGCCTTCGACAAGAATACTCGAAGATACGGATGCCAAGTCTACACAATTGGGAATATATTATGCAACTTTCATTTTACAAATATACAGTAACATTTACTTACCATCCTCCTCATAATCTGTCATTGCAGCTGACAAATCGGGTAGCGGTACTGTGTGAGAGGCTATGTAATCGTTTATTGTTGATTCGCGATCTGAATCTGAAATTTCATTTAATTAATTAAAAATGCTTTAATTTGTACGTACTCGTAATGTTGTATTGTTGTTAATATTGATGCTCACCTTTGATGATCTGCAAAACACAATAGGTATTAAATTAGAAATCGAGTAAAAACGAAGAATGTAAACATTTAACTCACTTTTGATGAATGCTGTGTATCTGTATAGTTGAAAGGACTTGTAGTCTCCAATGAACTTTCAGGTGAAATGCTTCTATCGTCCATATTAAAGTTGATGTCAATGTTGCATGAGCTTAGATCGGGTGTACTTTCGGATAATTTACGGATATATCCTTCATTGTCAGCGATCTGAAACGTAAGCATTTGAAACAAGTTATACAATTGCTAATCAGCTTTAATACTTTAGGTAACCTGTCGAAATTTTTGCTACGTACGCCTACACAAATCTCAGTGTTGTATTAATAATTAAATCTCATATCGAAAATAGGTTCATTAAATACTATCATAAGAATGCGTATTTAACGTAACTGTTATACGTGAGGTGCGGTTAAAAATTAACCACATTTATCCGAAATATTACAATTTTGCTTCCAATTAATAACTTAAAAAATATATGTGTATGTATTTACATTAATATTAATCTTTATTACATACATTGGAATTCGCTTCCATTTGCCACAGTGCTCCTTATAAAAGTTTGTGAAAATTTGATATTCAAATAATTAGAAATATGTTACAGATAATTTTGCCCGTTTCTTTATTTAATTAGTACACAGCCTGGTTTATTTCTGTAGCTATTTATTTTGGTATTCGGTCCGACGTCTGCACAGTTGAGAAATTGTTGATGGACTAAACTATGGCTACTAGAACTAGCATCGGAATTGTAACGCAATATTTTAAGTGGTTTTCTTACAAATTTCTATGGTTTTATCTAGCGGAAGGAAACCTTATAAGTATTTCATTAAGGAAATTAGTAAAATATTCAAATAAACACTTATATAGGGGCAGAAGCAAGCTGTTATTGCGCAGAAAGAGAAATATCGAACAACTTGCAAAACTACCAACTGATAGTGCACTCGAAGTGGCGTAGATTTATATTGACTACTCCTGAATAGGTTCATCATCGGAAAATAATGTGTAAAGAACATATAACACCAACACATTGTAATTGCAAATCAAATACTGATTTCATATCTAATGCAAAACTGCTCTTGCTTACTATGTAATAAAAGCAATTATTCAATAATTCGAACAATTTGGGTGTAGTGAAAAAATGATGTTCACGGTACCCATAGTATAAATATAGTTACATACAAAAAATTAGCAATAAATAGAGCTGGGAAGCTAAACATAAATTAAATATATATCTACATGTTAATATGTATGCAATGGGGTTTTCAATAAGAGCCATTATGTATGGAACTCGATTTCTTTTGCATGGGCACTAAGGGCACTCTTGCAGAAGTCCAGACGTCGAACCCATTTTTCAACGGGTTTCAAGCATAAATCGGCCAATACTGCTGCAATTTAACGTTCGATATTCGTACGAAGTTCATCAATCGTCGCTGGCTAGTCAAATCGCACGACCAAGGTGACCAGATCGGACAGGACGATTATGACGATCATCAATTGGACGTAACGCTCTTAAAGCATAGGCCACTGATTCCAAATTTCGGTAGCAAATTTTAACAATATCGACTAATTATTGGATCGTACATCTTTCCATGATGAAATGGCAATTACTGAAGAGAAATGTCAAAAGGGCGGGAGATATGGCGTCGTTTGCTACCCTTATCGGTCTACTGTTGTAGCGTCCCTATTAAAAAACCCTTTACTTACATACTAGGCGAGTTAAAAAATGCAGTAGCACTTAAACGACTACTACACTCAGTTCATGTAATCAATATTTTTTATTTTTCCCTTTCACTTTACTCTAACCAAAGTTCACTGGTGATTTAGACTTACTTTACTGATTATGACTGTTTACGTAGAGCGAAATTCGGGTCAGAAAGATATGTGTATATTTCTAATAATATTTTTAACCTTGATTCGTGCAATTTGGGAAAATTCATACTTAAACATCATCATATTATTTGAATTACTGCTCTATTCACTTAAATGCATATGTATGTACACAATATGGCATTTTTAACCCACCTTAGTTAACACTGCCTTGGCCAGGAAGTCCTGATAGACCTTTGGTTCAAAAGAACGTTTAGTACGATGACGATGAGAAAGTTGTGAATGACCGTTTCCATATGTATTTTTATTGAGTTCTGATTCAGATACGTTAGCATTCGTCAGACCTGACGTTCCCAGCATTTCCGCTATTATTGATTCAACCATATTTCGAAGTCTTGCTTGTGAAATTTCGGAAAATTCAGTTAGGGTATTCTCTCTGGCTTGGTTGTCATTCAAGCCCACGGGATGTTGATGAATTACACGATTATTCAGGATGCCAGGAAGATCTGCAGTATGAAATATTCAGCGACTTAAATTTCAAATGAATAATTATCATCAAGTAAATAACAAATGATCGCGTCTTATGATTTAATTTAACAGTTACGATATTAATAGCGCGTGTTTTAATAATTTCAGACATATACATTTGTTCAAAAGTTGTTTTCCTAAAGTATTTTCGATACGATTACTTTACCTAGTTTAACTTCAATAATGTAGGCAATGTAAAAAACAGTTAGAGCAAAGACCACAAAAGCTCCTGTAATAACACCCAAAGTAAAGTCCATTATATTGTTCTTCTTCTCATGTGAACTGTCATATAATGATGCCGGGCTGTGACGACGACAATTTAAATTCAACTGTTCCTTTATATTGTCAATAGATGTCGTTGCAGTGGTATATCTACATTGTGTTATACCATATAGTGTTGAAAAGATGAGATTTTAAGCATCATTCCACCAAAAAAAGTAAATTCGGGGAAGTTCAAAAAAGTTACAGCTGTTCAAAAATGAGTGTAAATAATGAAGAAATTCGTTATATTTTGGAATTCTTGTATAAAAAAGTATGTATCAACTGTATCAGTTCGTGTAGCACAACAATGGTTCACTCGCTTCTGTTCGGGAAATTTTGATTTACACTGATGGAAAAATGGCAAAAAGTGGTCGACCAAAATGGCACATATTTGTTTATTTATTTATTAGTATAAATATAAAAAAAATGAAATACTAAGAGGCTTCTACCCAATATTTATTCTATATTACAGTTTTAATTGCGAAAAGTATTATTAAATACATACGTGCGAGCATATATGTACATACCTAGTTTATGAACTTTAGAGCCAAGTAGTAACATTAGTACTAAATATACATTTGATCGAAATGGAGTATAGCAATTTCTTTTGAACATAGCAAAATTGCATTTAATGATCGAGAAACAAGTAAGGAAGTGCTTAGTTAGGGAGCAACCAAACATTTTATACTCTTGCAATTTGCAAGAATCAAAGCCAAGGAAATAAAGTGTAAAACCAATCAAATAGAGTGCTGGACCAAATTTTCTTTCAAATTTATCTATTTTACAGTTCTGTGTCTTAATTTGTGTTCAGTTATGTCAACGCCTACTTCCCGTATAACGCAACTTCAAATTCCATTTGGTTTTGTCACTTTCCACTATAACAAGTAAAGTACCAATTAATGTATCGGAATATATATCGGGTCCAAAAATTGCCAAAAGCGGACGATATTTGTTCAAGCCCCACATACCGAATATGTGGACCCCAGTGCGAATGACCGACTTTTTATTGAAAATATCGGTCAATATGTGAGATATATTATTGAAATTTTGCTGATAATAGTATACCTATGTCAAAAATGGGTTGAATTGGGTCAATATTTCCATTAGCTCCCATCTACCTTATAGAAATATTATCTCATATATTGGCCAATATACATACTACTGTGATCAAATTGAAAGGTGAATTTGGTCCATTTTATCTCCTTCAAAGTAATATTCTCTTGCTAAAAAAATTCTAATTCGTGGTGGCCATCAGAGACTTCTTCGATTCAGCTTTTATATCCTCAATTGAGTCAAAACGGTGACCTCGGATTGGTCATGTGAATATGCTGAATAGCCAGAAGTTATATGAAGGTAAATCAGCGAATGCGGTGGTTGTGACTTTAGTTGAAAATGTGGCGAAATGATGTATGAGATGGTGCATTATCGCACTTCTTTGTTCAATAAATTTAGACATAGTAAAAATCGAAGAATTCACTTTTAGAGCCTTAAAAAACGACCCGTATCTCAAATACTAAGGAATATTTTGATGTGAAATTTAGCATAAACGACTAACAGTACTACCAACTTACAGAAAAAAAATTACCGATTTGAAAAACACGCGAAGTATAAATTAAAAATTGACTTTCAATTTGATCGCTGTAATAAAAACGTGTTACAGATTAACTCATATTCAATAATAACTAAAAGGTTATTTATTGAAATGTAAGCAAAGAAATTTTATAGAGAAAAACGAACTAAAAAAACTATAAAAATATATATTAGATGGAGAATATTAAACCGTCTCCCAAAAATTGGTGCGTTGAGTCACCAATATAACTGAGGTTACGATGGCCAACAAATATTGACAGTGTAATTTGCTAAGCTTATATTATTATTGCCTATTAATATGAAGCATTTTCTATTAATATACATATATGTTTGTATGTACATATGTATATACTCGAAAGTGGTGAATAACAAAACAAGCATGAGTGTTCAATTGTTGTTCGGAGTTTCGACGTTCATATTTTACCAGCATCACAATTAAAGGGACTTTTATTTCAACGTATATAATTATTATAGGATAAGGTTTCAAATACAAAAATTGCTTAAAACGGAATACTCAATTGATCATTAAGAACACATCAATACGCTCATTGTAATTCGGATGAGGAACTCAACTAAAAATCAGATAATGTGTAAACGATACTGCAGACTATTAGCATTTTTAGAAACTAAATATATTCACCGATTGGATGCATACTTATGCAAAGGATAATGAATATTGCAGTTTAATAATAATATGTCACTACATCAATGTTGTTCACTGGTGATCCACATTTTTTACGCTGTACAAAAAAGTAAATAAAGTATGTATTGTTACGTATACTCGTACATATTCAAATAAACATACAGATACTATACTTATGTATGTATGTCAGCAATATAAAAGGTAAGCGATAACCGAAGTGAACTAAGTTCAGCGGCAAAGTAACGTATACGCCTTGTGTGTATGACGCTATTCGTTATCTTCTAAAGATAAACAAGTTTGGTTTCGTATACGAAATTGTTTTAATTTGGATTAACTTAAATTTTTTCATTTTTGGTTGAGTACTCTTTTAGTCTATTTTTGGGTGTTTAACGCAATTATGAATGCTTTACATTTTATATAATATATGTGTATATTTTATTGCACAAATGTTTATTAATTTTCGAAGCCGCTCATCTTTAGCACAAAATAAAAAATATTAATTATGTTATCATCCATTAATAAATATGAGCGGCAAGAGTATATTCCTTAGTTTTAGTTATTAAAAATCAGATTCAACCACGTTTATTTGTTCGGTTATTTAAACACCTCGACGCGCGCAACTCATCTGAAGAGAAATGACACTTTGCACAGGTACTGACATCGGCCCCAGTGATTGTTCGGTTTCTACTGTAGTTCGGTAGTTCTCTATGGTGAATTTGTTGTTGTATGTGCTATTGAGTTGAAATATTCATATTTCTTGTTCTACTGATAGCAACATTTTATATTTTTTTATATTTTCATATTGTTATTGTGAGCTGATATCAGTAAACGTTCTACGCAACTTTTAGTATATTTAGCTCTCTATCCATGTTGAGGAGTGTTAATATTATTACAGAAATAAGACTCTACTCAGAAAATACATATTTAGTGACCGGTTCTCTATTTCAAACAATATGTTTAGCTAAAAGATATTTTCATAATAATCATTACATAATTATTTCTTTGTATTCATACACATGTGTGTATGCATGTGGCTTATGATAACATACATATATGTACATACAAACATCTGTATGTAACTATTATAATAACTCAACGATTACTTCCGCCCAATCGGCGCGAGGGGTGCTATCTGCATTCGTGCGGAATTAGCCGAGTCATGAAAGGTAAGAGTTTTTTTTAAGTGCCAAGGGTTAAAAGCTACGTTTAAAAATATTGTCAAGATTTTATTTATTAAGAGAAGGCAGTATTGTCTTTTTAATTTTACAAAGTAAGTCAGATAAATAAAATTTGTAGAAATAGGAACTAAAATCATAACATATGCGGCGAAATGGTACGTTTAGAGTTAAAATTTGAAGATTTTAACAGTAAGGGTCTCAACTGTCTCAAAAAGGTAACCGTTATGTTAAATTTAATTTTGGATAACAGAAAATAACTGTAAAAAACTTCTAAGCGCAAGTAGATTTATAAATTTCAAACGTCTAGTATATGGCGGTGGACTGAACCCAGAATCCTATCGGAAATGCCTTAAGGCGAACAATAACATTTTGTTTTTGAATAGAACTGATAACTAGAGTTCCATACCACAGAACCATATTCTAATATTTATTTACTTAAGTCTATGAACATTGATTCTTACTGATTATTAAAATAATATTAATATAACTTAAATTAGAATGAGAAAAATCAATTAGAACTTTCTCAGAAATCAAGTTAAGCACACGCACAGCACGCTTTAGAGGGTCATAATCAGCAAATTTAGTTTTCGTTTTTACAGTAAAATAGGGAATAGATCTGAGACAACGCTGAGGAATATTGAAATTCATTTTTCTTAACAAACAATAATAACATTAAAAATAAACCAAATCGTAAAAAGTTTTAATAACATACGGATCTCTAAATACTTTATACCAGCGTTTAAAAAAACTAAGAAGACCCTTTGCTTTCAAAAATATGGTATCGATATTAAGACGAAAAGAGAATACGGCAAAACTGGCAGTTATGCCCATCTTAAATATAATTCAACTTTGGTATGTAAGGTAATTAATTCTACTCACAATTTTTACTTTTTGATAATTGTGTGACCCGTATTTGGTCTAGCGAATTGCCCAACAGCTTAGCTACCACTTCCTCCACATATTCGCGTATTTTCGTTTTTTGATCTGAAGTAATAGCAAAAGAATTTGCTCCAACTTGGCTTACGCTTTCGAAATCTGTAAGAATATATGCAAATTCGTCAAAACAGAAAATATTATAATTCACATACATATACATATGTATACATTTCAACGTTTTCATATTATATTACATAGGCGGCTTTACAATTATATCAAATAACACTCACTTGTGGAACTTTCATTATAATCTTTTATCGGTATATAAATTTCACTTCGTGCTCGTACTGGATACGAATGGTTTTGGCGGCTGAAGAACATTTGTTCTGTTATCCAAGACTGTGTATGTGTAAGCGATTCCTTCGAGAAATGGCATATTTGACATTCCCGCCGACCAAATTTTGGAACGAAATTTGAGCATTTGGTACCGTGACATATTCTTTTATTGCATAAAAAGCATGTAATAAAGCTAATGCACATTGGAAAAAGTTAAATAACAATTATATAATAACTTTTGAAAGCATTCCGTAGAAGAGCATACCTTTTAGAATCAATTATATTGATTGGACAGGAGCAAACATTACAAATGTTATCAATAACAGGTTCCTTTTTAGCGATTCGTCCTTCACCAATTTTACTAAAATATGAGAGATAGTTCAATTAAATGTCAAAAAGGTAAAGAACTAGTTCTATTATGATCTGGTAGATATAACATTGAACGAAAAGAATATTGAATAACGGAGTTTGGTTCATCTAACGGTTGTTTGTAAAACCTAAAATTAATCGATATACGTAAATATGTATATAAAGGATTAGGATGACGGGACGAGTTGAAATGCGGACGAATTTAGGTCCGTCCATCCAATTTTTTCGGCACCTTCCCCAACAGTGCGACAATGGTGGAAATGAAATGATAACTTCGCCCACTACCTACATAACGGTTGTGTCGAAACTAAAAAACTTACATATAGACCTATACGAGTGTAAGCCGTATAGGTCAATCGGAAGTTGAAAATGTGGTTATTTGGTATTTGGTATTTATACACATCTGCTCAAAATAATAGTTACACGATAAAACTTAGTACTCTCAACAGTTTAAAAAACTTCTTACAGGCTATATGCGACAAGTTATGCTGTAAGTTTAATTAAGATAATATGGCATCGCCCTTTCTAAGAGAATGAAGCATATGATCCCTCGAATTAATACGTGTGTCAGTTTTGCGTGAATTCTCAGAAAAAAAAAATTACCCAATATAATAGTTACACATAAGTGAACTTAGCTTTTTGTGAAAATAAAACTAATTTTATGTACTTTTTCAAGTTTTTTTATCGGAATTGGTAAGTTTTCTTTCATTATAGCTTAAAATGCTGCAGAGAATTTAAATTATTTTTTAATCAAATGGGTCGGAAGTCACATTGCACTGTTGAAGAAGCCCGGCTGGTTTCAAACCTCAGAAAATCGCTTCGGGAAATTGGGAAATTAATGGAAAGGTCTCATAATTTATGTTAAAAATGCTTTAGAGCGAAAATCTCGTAGGGAGACTCGTGGAAGGCCACAAAAAAAAAAAACGCGTACAGTTCTTGATCGCCACATTGTAACTCTTTGTAAAAAGGACCCATTCAAGTAGTCTAAGGTGATAGATGGACAGATGGAGCATGGAGGTGGAAACGTCATGGTGTGGTTAAAAAATATTTTGAAGATAGTAATGTTAACGTTTTGAAGTAGCCAAGTCAATCCCCGGATTTAAATCCAATAGAAAACCTATGGGGAGAACTAAAAAAAAATTTGGCGAGTCAATCTTTCTCTAACAAAGACCAGTTATGGGAGTGCATACAAAAAACTTGGTATGAGATACCTAAAGAAACCTGTCAGACTTTAATCAGTAGTATGCCCAAACGAATAAATAAAGTAATCCAGAATAATGGTGGATATACTGGCTATTAACTGTGTAATGTTAAATATACAAAGAAACTGTTTTATCATAATTTGTTTTTCCAAAATAATTGTCTTATTAAAAGTGTACCTATTTTTTTGAGCAAGTTTGTTTAGCTATGAAATGTTTTTGGATCTACATTTATTTGTTTTGCTTTTTGTTTAAATGACGTTTATTTAAATAAGCTTCTAAATATTTGAAAAATATAAGTACGTTTGCGTTTTTCTTAAAAATTTAAATACAACTTTTTATTCAAGAGCTTTACTTGAAAAAGTATTGTGTAACTATTATTTTGAGCAGGTGTGTATGTATATTCGCTTTCGGGAATTCAAATCATATTTTCACTTATCAGCAATAACAAGTGCGCACTGCTCATATGTATGTACATACAACATACATACACATGTAGATATGTCACCCGCAAAAATTACAAATATTGTTCTACAAAAACAACAAATGCATGAAATAGCATCACACAAGTCAATATGACAGCCAAATAGTCGATGCCCAAGTTTGTACAAAACCACACAACAACCACATTTTCATTCACGAACGCAAGCGCACTTTCAACTCGCTTCATTCATAAAAGCAAACACCATAGGGGTATTCTCTTGCCCCTGCAAAACGGTGCAGATATTTCCACAACAACAAACACACGCAGAAAATTATTTGCAATGGCAGTAAAATATGTCAGACCAAAACCCATGTTTATTCTTGTGCAATGGCAACAACACACGCAGAAAATTATTTGCAATGGCTGTAAAATATGTCAGACCAAAACCCATGTTTATTCTTGTGCAATGGCACGTAAAAAATAATTGCAACCCCGCGCTAGCTGTGATTTTACTTAAATACATATATTGACGTTAAATTGTTTAGGAAGATAAATTTTAAATAGATTTTATAATTTTTACTTAAATATAAAGATTTGTACAGTTTTTTGTTAAGAATAAATTCAGAAGGTGCGCCAATTCACAATAGCCATGTACAATAAAATAACCTAATTAGCCGTTCATATATCACTATATTCTGCAAACGGCGCTCTCGTGCTCTTTTATATGTATTTCGGTATAGGATTTTTGCAATCTGCAATTTAGCAAGAGCAAGAGAATCCCCGTCATTACATCTCCCTGAGCATGCCTTTGCCTACAAGCGTCTTTTCACGACGGTGGCAAAAGCTAAAAATCATAAATTGAACAACGTTTTGATGCTTCTTCACAGAAAGAAGTGAGAAAAGTGGCAACATAGCTGTTGTCGATGTATGTATAATATTTATCAATTCTAAAATATTTTTTCGTGGCTCGTAAAAATCTGCGTCGATATGTAAAAACGCTTATACGTATACATATGTACATAAATATTTACGCAAGTTTATTGGCAAAGCTGTTAGGGCGGCAAGGGAAGCGGTGACAATTGGCGATCGTTCCTTTGTGTTTGTAAATTTGTCTACATGCAACATATATACTATATGTTTGTAAATATGTACACTCCCTTGCTTCATGCGAAATTTCGTTGACACGGACAACCAATAACAAAATTCACGTGTTGTGGAAGAGCCAGTGTGTCGAAGAACTAATGCGACGACAAAGCGCCACTACATTGTGTTGTTGGTATAAAAACCGAGCTGTGCCGAAAACACAAACGAACGATTGCCAATTGCCACTGCTTCCCAACAAACCAGCGTAAATATGTATAGTATATTTATGTATGAGCTTGCATACATATTATATTGACAAAGACTTTTGCAAGCCGCGTAAAAATATATATACATATATATGTATATGCTACGTATAGACTACTACTTAATATAGCGTGGCGATCGTAACCACGGCCTGTGTCGCCTCGCCGACAATCATGTTTACCCGCGCCTATAGATTTTTCACATCAACAACTGGTGCTTAATTAGGGGCAGTGTAATTTTTTGTTCGACTGTTATTTGTTATTTTATTTCATAATATTCGATCGGTTTGGAAATCTACATACATATTATATAATAGAAAGTGGTATAAGTTACACCATTTATAACTCAAGAATGGCTGAACCGATTTGGTTGAAAATTGGTGGGTAGGTAGCTTAGAACCAGGGTAAGGACATTGAATACAGGATCCGGCACTCAATGTGTAACCAACTTCACACCGTTCGCGCAGCTGTCGCACTGGAATCAGCTGTTTATAAATTTGCTGAATGACAGTTCGGAGTATTGTTCACAAGTGCTCAAAAACGTTTTGCCAAAAGTGAACGCAAAAAACAGTGATCAGCGATGGAATTCAAACGTAATAGTGTGATTACTTTATATTTAGCTGGAAAATCACAACCAGCAATTGTTCGTGAGCTCAAACACCTTAATGTGAATAAAGTTTTTGTTTATCGCACCATCACTCGTTACAATGATAATGGTAACATCGCAAAACGCCATAGGAGTGGTTATCAAAAGACTGCAACGTCACGTGAGATGGTCCAGACAGTGAAGAAGCGACTTGAGCGAAATCCACGACGAAATGCCAATCAAATGGTTAAAGAACTGAAAATATCCGACCGCAGCATCCGACGCATATTGAAAAATGAGCTCAAGGTCAAGCCTTACAAGTTCCAAAAGGTCCACGATCTCACACCGAAGCAGAGCAACAACCGAAAGCGGTCAAATTCCGAACATTATGTTATCTAACGAAAAATTTTTCCAATTGAGCAATTCGTAAACTCTTAAAACGATAAGGTTTACTTGACCGACCGTTCATATGAGAATCTTAATCATCGGTTGGCCACAAGGAGGCAGCACCCGCCAAAGATAATGGTTTGGGCCGGTGGTCATATCGACCAAAAGTGAATTGGTCAAGAATTTATGATTATTTTCACACATTTTGTACTTTAAAATAAATACAAATAACTTTCAACCCGAATTTATGGCTTTTTTAATTGCAGCATTTCGGTTTTTGCCGTCTAAACGTGTCAGCTGATTGCTCTCTCACAACCCAGGGTTGCTAATATCTATATACTGTAGTAATTATCAACTTTTATAATTCAATCTGTTCAATATGTGTAAAATTTTCTTAAGATAACTCAAAATTGGAGTCGAATACTATTATTTATACATATATAAACTATTTTTAATAGATTGCGTAGCGTTTTTGACTGTTCCTGCTATAACTCTTGCCAACAGGTGCTACTTCGGACTCAGTAGCAAAGTCCTCTCTCGACGAACAAAAACCAAACTCTATAAGTCACTCATAATTTCCGTCCTGCTATATGGTGCAGAGGCTTGGACGATGACAACGACTGATGAGTCGACGTTGCGAGTTTTCGAGAGAAAAGTTCTGCGAAAGATTTATGTTCCTTTGCGCGTTGGCCACGGCGAATATCGCATTCGATACGATGCGATGATATATGTAGATGGTAGTTGTAGTATTATCTACATATGTACCAGGCACAGTGAAGCGTGGACGAGTTCTCTCGTTAATTAATAATACAGCTTTATTAATTTTATTACATTGTAACTGAACATTTAAATCACTTCGAAATACTTTATTATGGTTTACATATGATTGATATCCATATTGTTACATATATAATATATGTATTATATTATATAATATATAATATATTAACATAATATTGTTTGTGATTGTTGTGGTCTGTTTGCTAGATTTTTCCAGCAACTTTTCTGCTGTACATACAGTGTACATACTCTATGTAACGTCACAGACACTATTTGTAACAAATTTATTTTGTAAAGGAATAGACTTAACTTTAAATGCAGTAATTGACTCAAAACCGCGAGGATGTCCTCTAATGCCATATCCTCCAATTTTCCTCCAATATTCCGTTATACGTCTTCTCCCCGTATAATAAAAACTCCTTATAACGTAAAAAAATTTGCGGTCCCTTGAATACCGTTCCATAGAGTTTCCACTGTATACGTATAAAATGCTTAATATTTTGATACTTTCCCTTCCACAACTACATGTTATTTACGCCGTTAGCAAATGACCCTTTCAAGCTGCCTTCGATGTTGTAGTTGCACCCGGAATTGGGTTAATCTTTCCTGTTCTAGACGCCACACTTGGTGTCGATAGTATGTCTGTCTTCGTGTCCATCGTTCGTAATTATTACGTAAATCTCCATAGTAGATGTCCTCTTCATATTCACTCACATTGTTATCGTTAGCTTCACTGCGTCCGAATACATCGACTCTACTAAGACCAGTAAGAGTTAGCTTCCACAAGACCACTTCAAATGCGCAAACCATGAAAAGAAACATCAGCACGGTAAAATTTACATGGTTAGAGGCTATTAGCATTTCCCAGTTGGCGTTAAACGTTGTTAATATAACCATATTGCCGGAAAATCGTTTCTCTGGAATTATTTTTCTTTATAATTATATTCTCTATATAATGTCTAAAATTTATTCCAGAAATTGTGGTTACTTTTTTCAAAATTTTGGTTTCTTTCGAGACCTCTTAAAAACGTTTGTTGCAATATTATGTTTGTCCACACAACTGATTCGTGTTTCTTCAATGCTAAAGCTTTTGCACAAAACTGTTTGTAATAATATACATACATACATATGTACTTCGTTTGTTTGCCTGCGCTGCGTATCTGCGACCGATTAGACCGACAAGCGCTGTCGCGATGCCTTTTGTGGTTTGCTCTTGCATTTGAAGACTCAAACCCGCTTTTTCCACTGTTGACAACGGTAGTTGCGTCTTAAGCTGGTCTGTTTAATTCATGAACTAGCAGGTAATTTTTAAAAGATTTTGCTAAGTAAATGAGTAGGATTTTTTGTTGATTATTATTAATCTCTGGCTCAACTATTTTATTTTATATGAACTTATTTATTTTATATAAATATTTGGCATTCGGAACATTGATATACTCTGTTATTGAATAATACCAACAAAAAAAATTTTTAAAAATTTCACCCGTATGCACAAATACAATTAGTATATGTATGGTATAATCAAAATTTCTTCACTTTACACCAGCAAAGTATAAATCAAGTCTGGAAAATTTATTTCCTCATTTCTTCAAAAATTTTTATTTTGTTTCAAGACGCTAAAGGAGATAAACCTGTTAAGTCAGCTTTCGATTTCCGCATAGACAACATAATATACTCTTATTCGTATACATTTGCGTCTACATCTGGTGTACTGTTTTTATACTCTGCAACCAGTTGCTACAGAGTATTATAGTTTTGTTCACCTAACGGTCTCACATAAAACTAAGCGTAATAGATATAGGGTTATACATATGTACGTATATAGTATAAATGTTTAAGGTGACGAGAAAAGTTGAAATCCGGGTGGCTGTGTCTCTGACCATCCATCTATCCGTGCAAGCTGTAACTTGGTAAAATTGAGATATCTTGATGAAATTTGGTATGGGGGGTTCCCTAGTACAAAAAAAAATTCGAGTTCGTAGATGGACGTAATCAGACCACTGTCACGCCCACAAATCGTCATTAACCGAAAATCTATTAAGTGTCATAGTGTAAGCACTAAATTAAGATATAAAACTATAATTTGGCACAAGAGACCGCAGTAGCAAGAGCACCTGTGAAAAAAAGTGGGTGTTAAATTCCACTTGATTCTTTCACTTTTCAGTACGCAATTTAATAAGTAATTAAAAAACGAAGTATAATAATTCTTATAAAGTATGCCAGCTCCCGACTAAAAATTGTCCAAATCCAACCAAAACTGTTCATCCCCTAGGTACCGAAGATGAGGACCCCAGTACCTATATTTGATTTTTAACCGAAAATATCGTTCCATCTGTGAGATAGGCAAATTATATTCAGGGTCAATACTTCCTAAGCCCCCATATATTTAATATGAAGATTTTCGAACCACTAAGTGACTTTATACCGCATATTTCGGCCATTGTTTGAGTTAACTCAATGAAAATTACAGAACATATTTTACTCATAAAAATATACCTTTGTGCTTAAAATAGATTCCAACTAGGGCGAAAACTTAACCCACCCCCATTTAAGTAATATCAGGATTTTCGAATATCTGGCTGATTTTGCTTCATATGATTGGTGATTGTATGTAAGCCACCTTAATAATTACCCAGGTAACATTGAGTATATAGCACATCAGTGTTATATGGGATGAGGAAAAATAGATAAAATAGGGTCGATACTACCCCAACTCGCATGTACTACATATAATGATTTTCGTTTTTCTAACAAACCTTACGTCGAATATGTCAGTTAGTTTCTGAGTTATATCCAGTATATGTATGTATATATAAAACTTCTTGGATTCCGATCCTGTGGTTGACATTTTACGCTATAAGGTATCTCCCTGGCATTAATTTATCCGAGTTACATGAGTATAAAATGTTCGGTTACACCCGAACTTAGCCCTTAGCCCATATTACTACGAATATTATTTGGAAAATCTTGTGTGTGGTTAGTTCACAATTAACTAAAAATTAAGAAGTAAGGATTTGACGAACCTTATTTTGGGAAAGTAATAGATTTTTTTTTACCAGCCCTTAATATTATAACAATTTCATTGTTGTTCTGACTGTACAAAAAGGGACATATAGTATGCTCTATATATTTCTTTCCTTCAATTATTATTTGGAAAATAGTGACATAATAATTGTTTTTAATGTTAGGACTAGAAACAACAAAAATTATAATTTGCCTTTTTTTCAATATACATACATAGGTCTTAGTTTGAAAGATTAGCTTCTCATTGTCGCTAAATTTCTTTCTAGCGAGCATTTTCTTGAAGTCGGAGAAGATTTGGAGAAACCTATAGACGCGGAGCAATTCCGATCTTCAATTCATGTTACAATCGTTTTCATTGGCTTGGGATACTGTACATTATCCCATTGAAACAGCACTTCTTTAAAAAAAAACCGTTCTTCTCCGATTTCCATTAAACATTCAAATAATGCTAGATACAGGTATGTCATAGCTTTCTTATTTTCAAGGTAGTTTATTAAAAATTATTCAACTGCCTTGCTGGCTGTTGCGTCTTGGAATCGGTATCCTCTATTTGCAATAACAAATAGTGTTTGGTTTGTGACCTCGTGCGCATGGATCTTTACCTTACCCAAATATTAATGAACGATATACTTAAATTGTCGGGTTAGAAACACTGATATTGCAGAATGGCGGAAAATAATAAACGCAACAAATAAAGGCATACCAGGAACAACAACTACTAATATCTTGACAACCAACGCTTTGACAGAGAAAATTACTTTGAAAATCAAGACTGTTGACGGAGTCCACGTCAAAAACAGCCATGAATACCCACCAATGTACCCCTACAGCGCAAGAAAAGAAAGAAACACCTAAGTCAAATGACGAAAATTGAGTACTAGCTAAGGATAGAAAAAAGGTAAGAAAATAGAAAATCGCTATATAGTTGGGGCGTTCACAACCTGACTTAAAGCATTGTAAAGTCGTAAAATTTAAAATTTTTACACCCAAATTTTACTCCCAAACATTTTTTTATCATTTACTTTTTACGACAAATGACGGCTAATTTTCGAAGCGATTTTAACCAGATTGATATAGTTTGTTGTTGATTTGATCTAGATCCTTTACAGCATATGATTTAAATGAATATTTTCGAAGATACTACAGATTTAACAATTGGGGGACGTAGCGTTTGCAGTGGTACCGGGAGCGTCGAAGGTCACGGTTCTCCCTATAGCAATTTGAATTTAGCAGCGATCATCGAACACGTTTATTATTGGAGCCCTCCAGCCAGGAATATTTAAACGAAAACGATGGAGTACAATTTCAAACTGACCCTTCCTCAAAAATAATACAATTGCTAAATATTTGAAACAATAGAAAAGAACTGCAACCACATACGGTTTTACTACGATTAAAGAGCCCTCAAACACTTCTCAGAATCAATTATTCGTTGTTTTTGTTAGATTATGAATTTGCAGACACCCTCTTTGCACAGAACTTTCGCTTCTTTAGGGCGTCGTTGTTCTCGGTGCTCATTTCGCCTCTTTCCAATTTAGGAAATCTCTTTCCAACGATGGATTTGACTGGTGCAGAGCCCAAATTCAACAGCATTTACCCCCAAAAAGCAATACTTTATTAACACAGTAAATAATCCTTTTTTTTGTAATCTAACACAAGTTGCTTCACAAAAATGCTATATCTCATTAACTAATAATTATAATCTAACTAATAGAAATCATATAGATGAAAGTAGTAGTATTATCTATGTATCAGCCACAGTAAAGCGTGGACGGATTCTCAGGTATAAGAATAAAATAATAAATGATTAAGAATTAGATGAAGAGCTGGAAAAGTCAGAGGCTAATACCTCTTTCAACCAATCGACACCTATAACGGATATCAAAATATCGCTAGAAAGCTGTAAAGAATTCACCAGACTAAGTAATATATTGTCCAAGGAACATATCAATATATCCTATTTAAAAACTACTAAATATCTCAGCCTCATCCTCTGCAGGGGAATTCCTAGAAGAACTCATGGAAGCACTTCACTTGGTTCTCAGCAAATTTCAGCGGAGATACAACTACAACAGCGGCTATACGCTATAAACAGCTTGCAGCAGGCATGGATAAAATTATTCTCATAATGATGTTGAAGCTAAAGGAACCAATGGTTCCAATGTTTGAAAAGATATACATATAAGCCGACATTAAACTACAATCAAACACAACAGCTGTGTTGCACGATTTGTTAAAGTATCACGTTCCATGTGAAATTTGTGGCAACTTAGGCAAAAGTATAGAGTTCTAGTTGTTAAAAATTTGGCAATTGTTGTGCGCAAAGTGAAATAAATTGGAAACATAAATTTTGTGATTGCTCCACTGATATGGAAAATGAAAAGGCGAAATAGTTATTTACAAAAAAAATATATATATTTATTTTATAATATACATACATATGTACATTCAGATATCTAAAAATATATGTGTTTATTTTATATTTAAGCGAAAAATTTAGTAACAGCTAAAAAATTTATGGTACATGGTCGGCTAGAGCCGGAATTCGTTGCGGGGACGAGGCAGAAATCGGTTCAGCAAAGTACTCTAAAAAATGGAAATGTGGACCCGAAAATCACGCAATAGAAGGAAGTTATCCAAAAAGAAATTTTTAAATTTGCTTGCGTCGTACAAACGTATAAAAAAAGCAGAACAAGTCAAGTTGGGACGCCAGAACACTGGTTTGTGATTATCTTGATAATGTCTACGGCAGACGACACTCCATTCAACCGCCAGAGCAAAACCTGCAGTCTTCTCTTCGAGGTTTAAACGAAATTTTTGATGAGAACGACAGTGGTTCGGATGGAATGGACTTGGAAAGGAGTATTGCAAGGACGCCCAGTAAACAGAGTAGTACTTGAGTAAATGAAACGCTCATATTTTTTAAAGAAGAAACTGCCAAAGAA